CTCCAACACATGCACCTTCTCTTCCGTCATGGCGATCGCACCCCCATAGAAACGTTCCCTAATGACGGACATCAATTCAACACTACATGGCCAGAGGGTGCAGGGCAATTGACCCAACTAGGCATAGAACAGCAATACCTTTTGGGTACCTGGATCCGCGAAACATACAACTACTTCATTCCACGGCAATACCATGCCTCTATCTTTCACATGCGTAGCACAGACTTTGACAGGACCCTAATGTCAGCAATGGCCAACTTGGCGGGTCTCTTCCGGCATTCAAATTCATCTTTGGAAAAATACAACATCCACTGGAGGCCGATTCCTGTCCACACTGTAAAACAGGTAAACGAGTCTTCATTTTGGGTTCTTTGAAGCGGTCAACTCTTGGTAATTGACGCTTTACCAGATAACTTAAAACTGTTTGACCTTCATTCACTGTCTCTTCTTCCGTCCTTCCTTCTGTAGACTTCAGAAATAATGTTTGCGTCTGCCCCTTGCCCCCGTTTCAAACAACTCCTCGAAGAGAGTTATAAGTCGGACGAAACAAAAGCCTTCTTTGACAAGCATAAAACTTTGTTTGACCTGCTGCGCAAGGAATCTGGTTGGCCGGAGCTTGGTGCGCACAACTTCTGGATTATTGAAGATGACCTGATATGTCTGGAGGCGCACAATTTCAGCCTCCCGCAATGGTACACTCCAGCTGTCAAGGAGGAAGTGGGAGTTGTTTCTGAGTACCTGTGGAAGGTAGGTTTATGCCTCAAGTTCTATGGGCTTTTTTACTAATCATCTACCCCTCTGTGCATTGACCCTCTCTTGCTTTATTTAAAATTGGACTACTGTATAATTTTCCCTGACTTCTAGCTCGCAAAAGGTAGATTCAAACCGTCTGCTTAGCCAATTTCCGTTTCAATGTCCCCCATTGTTGTGACCGAACAACCGTTCAACGGAAAAATACTTTTTTCCACCACCTCACGAGGCTACTTGAGGTTTCGGGTTGACATTTTTAGATCAATGGCTGGCCGTTTTCGGAGAACTTACTGTCTCTTCTGTGAAACAGTAACGTTCCACTATGGCAAGTCAAACTTCGTCATAGGAATTCTGGTGGAGATCTCCGAATCCCTGACATATTGTAATCTATCGCTGCCGCTCTGAACTTGCAATCCGGTTTAATTTTAATCGCTCGAAGTATATCATTGTGTTTTTGGGAAGGATTATGCTTTAGCCTTAGCCAATCTCTTCAAATTAGGCTAATGGATGGCAAATCTAATTTACTTTTACTTGTCTGTATCGTGAATTCGGACTTTCGCCAGAACCTGAATTAGTTTTCTAGTCAGTCGCTCAGCCATGTCATATTTTTCAAGTTTATATGGGAGACGTATTTGGTTTCCGAGCTGAAACTATTACACACTAGGGTTTTTCACTTGTGGAGTTATCCTAGCGTTTAGTGTGCTTACGTAAAGCTTCTAGCACGAATTTGTGATGGCGGTTTCTGTGTTTTGTCAGGAGTTCAACACCATTTTCCAGTAATCCATGATAGCCTTCTGCCAACCAGGAGACTCTTGATTCAAAAACATTTAAGATGTGACATGCGATTGGTGGAGCTATACTTCCACATGACTTTCCGTCTTGGAGACCTACGTGTGAATTGGATCGTTTTTCAGACTCCATCACCTTCTAGTGGCAGACCACCATGAAGACAATTCCTGGTGTGCTTGGACGTTTTTCAGCCCTGTCCGCATATGTTCATGAACGTTTATTCACCGGCACCTAAGAGAGAATTGAATACTGGTTGAGCAAATCATAGCAAATTCATCGAAATTGATGTTGGCCGTCACTAAGTACCTCCTCCACAGTGGCAACAAGACCGCATTCAATCCGGAGGATCGATTTATTCGCGTCAGTCAGAAACCTTTAGAATTGCAACCTTTAGGTGGATTGCGACAACTCGCAAAAGTACCATATTATGGAGGCAGCGCAGGACAAACCTTTTGTCGTCCTTCCCGCCTCCACCCCATCAAGCACCAATGGTAGCACTGAGTCATGTTCACTGAAGACGAGACTAAGTTAAGTGACTACCATGGAATAGCATCCCCTCTATCTCCTACCAAGTATGTATCTCGTTCATGTGCAGATTTGAGAGTCACACATCTAAAAACAGTACTACACAAATAATGAATTCGGATGGTTTGCTCCTACATTGTCCATTTAGTTCAACCAACGAGCATTTTCAATCCTCGGCAACGTTCTAAACTACGTCCTCTAAGACGCTGAAAAATAATCGTATTCGTTTGCTCGTCTTTCCAGCGCTCCGTAGTCAGCCACTTTAGGTACTAAATGCAGCCGCCCCCCTCTATGTGTATTCTCTCCTTTTTCAGCTCCGATATAGCGATACCGAGAGGTTACGCCTGGAGCTGGGTGTCTTTATAAACGACATGATTGAACACCTGGACAGGGTCATAAATCCAAGCGCCTCGTCCCCTGCACAACCAGTTCTCTCTTCACGCATCAACGCCGGTCATACTGCCCCCAAAATTATGGCCTACTCTGCACACGACGAGAATGTTGCAGCCTTGCTCTCGGCCCTGGGTGTTTATG